GTGAATATTTCATATTGCACAAATTGCATAGTATGATCTTCATGATTTAGTACCAGCGTAAGCGAGTACCTCTCATGAAAAACTTATTATCATTATCTTACACACTTAGAATAGTGTAAAGTCCTCAAGGTCCAAATGTCCTCTGGGTTTGTTTTAATTATGAATCGGTATCATGTTCAGTTCAATGTTATGAATTAAACATGATTTCCTTGCAAGGCATTTCATTCAAAAATTAGTGTAAGTGATGTAAAGAATTACTTAAATTTGGGCAATTTTAATAAATTGTGTTTCAGACATTAGATGACACAACAGTAAGTTTAAAGAGTGGGAATTGTGGAAGTTCCTGATAGTGATTATGAATGTAAATCATGAACTCGTTTCATGAGGAAATATCTTTTTGTTTATTTACACTTAGAATCAAAATTTAAGTTACAGTGATATTTGTTTCTATACAGTAGCACAGCCAAATCCCTCTTTACATCAAATATGTCTTCATGATGTGAAGTAATTTAACTAACATTTGAATGTTCACATAAAATAAAAAGAAATAATTTCATTGATATAAAACCGAATGTTTTAATTGTATCGGAATATTTAAAATGGCTATTTTTACCAACCACGGACACAGTAATCTGAGTTTTGGTAAGTGTATTTGCTAAAGATTTAGGAAACTATTTTAAATTGATGAGATATTTCTTCATTGTATTGTTTGATAATATAACATCTAATTAGTCGTTTTGAAGTTATTGATATTCACATAATAACATTAACAGTACCAATTTTACTCAATCATTAACATTCAACTTATTTTGGTTTTTTTAAAATTCAATTCGTAATCAGAGTAAATCATATAACATTCTGCTAAGCTGATAAATGTGCTTCAGAGTAGTTGTAATGAATTTATAGAAATTCTTTCTTTTCATCTGGAAATAAATAATAATATAATTCCTTACTAAGAACATGTTTTACATTCATTCTTCACAATTAAGAAACATCAAATCCTCCAATTTCATTGGTCAAGAGCACTTTGCTATTCTAATGATATAATCCACAGGTGATAATATATATTCCACAATAAAATTAGCACGAGCACTCAATAGAATATATTAAAATGGAATTAACCGTATTCTCTAAATATATATATAGATACCGGATACTATTTAAAAGAACATTCTAGAAAGTTCTGTTTTGGTATAAGTCTTGAGAGTTACATATAATGCAATTAAGATAGTTCTAGAAGGTTAAACAGCTTCTGTATAAAGTTGTAAACAACATCAGTAAATCGTGAGTAATGAATTTTCGAGCAATGCCATCTTTAGTAGTCAATTTTTTTGCATAAATGTTTATTTCTATTATTTCTTTTTGTAACAACTTCTTTCATTTGCTAAAACTCACCGTCAAATTCACAATTGACATGTCTTGGACCACCATTTTGAATAACTTGAATCAAAAATTATTCGTTTGATACAATATAATTAAAAATTAAACATAAACTACCTCAAAAACGACGTTTTAATGATGTTGTATTAAAATCTGAATCGTACAAGTAACAAAATAATCCTCTGCTTGAGTGTTTTCACTTGTATGACGTCATGTTTTGCCATGACGCTAATGCGCCAAAAATCATTAATGATATTTTTCTTAAATTTATATATTTGTACAGGCTCTATTGTACTATTTCTTTTTCTGACGCATTAGAATAGGAATAACAGTACTGTAGTTCAAGGGTTGACTATTTCTTTTTCTGACGCATTAGAATAGGAATAACAGTACTGTAGTTCAAGGGTTGACTCCGTCAATTTGGATTTGACGGCTGCAACTCTTCAACTACAGTACTGTTATTCCTTAAATAACATAACGAAAGAATATGTAGCATCTTCCAGTCTTTTGTGTACAAAGAAAAATCACATTTTTATTTATGTACGGCCGTTTGTTCGAATTCGGCCCCAGACTCAACAACTTATTATATGATAGATTTTAATGACAACTTGCAACATTGATTTATTTCTAAGTGTAAACGTAAAAAATGTTAAACATGTTCAAAATCATTCAGGACCCAAAATTCAGAAAGGGTTTGACAAATACAGCTAAAATAATCTATTCCGGGGGTAGAAAATCCTTAGTATTTTAAAAAAATCAAAATACGTAGTCATGAGGATTTTAATTGTACTACCTATTATATTGTGTTGCTATTTAGTATACTCTATAGGTACTGATCTATGTCGGTAAAACATGACAAAGACTAAACGAAAGAATGAATGACAACAAGTCTAACGGTAATTAACCATCCTGCCAATTCCATTTTTTCTATGAAAAGCAGGTTTCATAAAATAAATGACCCCATATTGATTACACCATATCTCATACGATGAGAAAATTTCAAGATTCGGGAATTTGGAACATCTATTCCATACAAATGTGACGACAAAATTGATGACATATTAACAAATTATTACTATCTAACACTTCTATTCAACACAATAGAAGTCACGATAATATACAGCATCAGTGGTGTATACCGTGTCGATGGATGGTCTGTTATCCTCAGTTTTAAAATCTTTGGGAATTCACCACATTCATAACATTAAATATGGTTAAAAATGCATCCATAATGATACAAATTCTGCCAAATACAGACTGGTTGCAAAAACTTCTTATTGATAATCACATTAAACCTTGTGACGATAACCTCCACGAATGTTGAAAAACGTAGAATTTGCTAATAAGGGTTTGGATGTTATTAATGTAATAATATTTTTCAACAAAATGGGAAACAATAACAAATTACTTTAAAGATAAACTGCACCTGTCAATCATTATACCTTCCACAAACCCATTGCGTTTAATGCCCTTACCCACAAAATGACAATAAAGACGTTTACCCTGAAGGTTACAAAATCCAATTTCGTGTTCATCGTTCCCGTTCTGCTGGTCATGTGATTATCGTGACCTTGGCATCGCAAACAATAAACAAAATATAGTTGTTAGAAAAAAAAACAGAATATCGAACTTCCCAGCACATCAGATGAAAGAAGAATTTAAGGTAAATGATTGATGCTGTTGAGAAATACGTCCGAAAATGGGTTAAGTGCGAGCTAGATGAATCTAAAGTAAACACTTTATCTGAGTGGACATGGCCGCTCGATCATATTTTCAGAACGGTATTAAAAATTACTATGAACCATGAACACACTGGCTTCCAAACTATTCGAGAAACCGAGGTTTAGAATGTTTAATCCTCTATTGATAATTATGATGTTGTTCGATCAGAAAAAGTTGATAAATAGGCAGAAATCATTATTCGGAATGTCTAGCTAAAGACTTGGAATTTACAGCAAATCTGGGAATCTTCCATACACTGTTATCATTCACGAAAGAGGAGATTTGAATAAATCACAAACCCTTCCTTCTCTCCTTTTGGTAATAACATAAAGAAACGACGTTGACAATTTTAAGTCATTATAATGGATACCTTAATTTCACAAAAAAAATCCTGATATATAGCCGAGTCATTGCAAATGTTAATCAGATTTCTACAGTGAAAGATGGTATTCAATATATCAAATATTTTTATGAGGTATTTTCAACAATTAGGTGTGTTTGATGCTTCACAAAATCATAATCAATAATCCTTACAATTATGCAATAACATTAAAACTTTTGATTTTCCTACGATCGAAAATACTATTCCCCATGCACAATTGAAAGATCGACTACATTTTCTAATCAATTAAAAAGTAATTTTGTACAAATAACTTGTCTATGTCATGAAAAATCTTATTATGTGAAGAACCAGATTGATTCCAACAATACACCGAAGATTGTATCATCAAAATGCGGGACTTTGTTGAATGTGGTGTATTATTTTTCAACAAACTGTCGGTTTATATGGGTATTCAATGTATAACTCTACTTGCAGACTTTTTTTTTGTACTCATACGAAGCAGAACTTTTTCAACAATATTTAAAAACAAAACCTATTGCCAAGTTATTTTATTTCATTTTGAGATATAACCTGATAATGTTTTTTCATTCAATAACCAATATTTGAGTAATTATGGCATGATGATTCGAATTGAGGTTATATACCATTTTGGAAACCAAGAAACATTTAATATACACCAGCTACAGAAAAAGGCTAGAAACGAAAACACTAATTTGTTATTATATATAATATGAAGATTTACATTTCAAGTTTCATTTAAAAACTACTAGTATATACACGTCATCATCATGCCAATAATTTTGATTTTCACTCTTATCGTGCTGAATTCTACTGATAAGATACATTCGCCTCTGGCTTTTTCTTATTGGCTTGATTACTTCCCACCGTAACATTATTGTAATATTCTGTTGAAAATGAATGTTTCAATGTATCTTTCGCGTCTCTTTTTAAGTAGAAATACATTATAGATACCAACTGTGGGTAGAATACCATTAATGTTCCGATCCGATTATTTCAACATTTGTTGAACGGAAATATGATTACAGAAAATTACCCCCCTCAAAAAGATCGGCGAATAAGAAGTGTGATGACGTCCTTTTTGTGCTGACATGAAATATCATTTATAATTTAATTTTTCTGTAATCATATTTCCGTTCAAAAAATGTTGAAATAATCGGAACACTAATGGTTTTCTACCCGCAGTTGGTATCTATAATGTATTTCTACTTTAAAAGTACTTTACAGTATACTGATCTTAAGATGAAAGAACTGAAACCAGTGGAATATAATTTCAATAATTACATATGAGTTATAGCAAATAAATATATTGGTGTCAATTTACTTTTCCACTTCTTATTTTGTTTTGAAGATTCTAAATTGCACTTTTCAAAAACGTTCGCAAAACGTTTTTAAATAGCCTATTGCATCGGAATATGATTAAGGATATGTGATATATAATTCATAAAGTATCTATAATATGGAGCTAGTAACATTCGATTTTGTTATTAAAATAAAAGCTTCACTAAAACAATTCCATTGACTTTATTAAATGATTTGCTGTCCTGGTTTTAATTGACTTATCTAATAAAATGATGTAACTGTGCGCATATATACTTCATTCTGCCTTGACTACTGGTGGATAAAAGTAAAATGTTTCTTACCTTCATTATCTATGGAGCTGTTGTAATAAATTCAATATGCCATGGAATATCGCAGATAAAAAATAAAAGGATATTTAAAACAGAAGCGGGACAAAGAATTGTATCAAGCCTTTTCACAATAACAACTACTACTGTTTCTTCAACAGCATGTGCCAGTCTGTGTACCAGCGACAATGACTGCAAGACAGCAAGTTATGATGATATCACAAAACAATGTAAATTGGATTCCGACTGTAACCCAACGACAGAAAATTGGCAAAATGGAATTCTAATTCGATTAAGTGAGTAAATTTTACTGATCTTTTATTTGATCATGTGCTGATTTATAAAGATACGTTTTTTTTTCAATTTTATATGCAGATCTTTCATTAAATTTTATAACATACCGAATCTGCCGGGTTTTTCACCAGGCGAAATTTTAATTTTATCAAATGCTCATGACAATTTTTTATCGTAATTAGATTTTATGAAGCCTTATGGCTTCTGGGCTTTATAGGAGATAGAGGCGGACAAATATGCTTACATTTTTTAACTAAAGGTGTCTCTATAACTAAGTATTATCTTACAAATTCATTTGTCTCAACTAGATAAATGCGTTCGGTTTTTACCACTCTGAAATGCTGAAAAGGCAAAATTAGTTTAGATATTAAAGTCGAAATCATATTACATTTTTGAATTTCAGGTAACATTCCTGCTGATTGCTCTGGATTTCCGGAAGGAACTATCGACGGGGTCTACACAATTTCCGTAAATAACGACTGTATATATGTTTACTGTGATATGGTGGATAAATGGACGGTACGCTTTTTTAAAGTTTTGTTTAAGTATGACTTTTCAATTTTTGGTAAACGATTGAATTATGGATAATAGATAAAAGTTGTTTCACAATAGAAAAACAAGAAACTGATATTCGGTAAATTTATTTTCCACACACACGACAAAGAAAAAGATTTTTTCAAAATGAATTACCAAAATAAATACTTCTAAGTGCCAGAAGTAAGTCCATTTCAATTTGGTTTATTAACAAGCGTTATTTTTTTTTTTTTTTTTTTTTCATTACATAACCTATCTTACAGGTGATACAAAGACGACAAGATGGCTCAACAGATTTCTATAGAGACTGGTCGGATTATAAGAATGGATTTGGTAATCTATCAGGAGAATATTGGCTTGGTAAATTAATGTATACTTAAATAATTGATATTTGTTAAAACAGATTCATTTCAATGATTCGCATTTGTTCGAGTCTTAAATTTAATTCGGCTTGAAATAGAAAACTTTCGATTTTAGTTTTTAATCACTTTTCTACATAGCTTTCAGTAACTTCGAGTACTCTTATTTCGATGATTTTTGTCTATTGTTTTTATGTTAGTGGTTTTTGTGCCTCGTACCGATCTTTTGATTTAATCCAATTGCAACTGGTATTTATAGTTTGTTCTTATGTTGTGCTGTTACACCATTGTGTAATGTTAGGGGAGAGTTGAGCGCACAAGCACATGTCTAACCCCGCTACATTCTCAATGTGCCCGTCCCAAGTCAGGAGTCTTTAGTACAGTGTTTGTCATATTTGTTTTTCGTAAATTGATTTGTTATAAATTAGGCGTTATATTTCTCGTTTGAATTGTTTTCACAATTTTCGGGGCCTTTTATAGCTGACTATACGGTGTGGGTATCGCATTGTTGAAGGCCATATGATGGCCTTTAATTGCTTATTACCACTTCTTTTAACTCTAGTGAATAGTGTCTCATTGGCATTCATACCACGTCTCCTAATTTTTTTATCCAAATATGAGTTTAAATCTAGAAACAGATCTATAATCTTTCAAGATTCAATTCAAAAACTTCGATAGACAGACATAGAAATCAAGATTTACATACTTTCATTATAATCCCTTCCTTTTTGAAGTAGTTTGCTTTTATACGTTATCGGGTTTCTGTCCAATTGAAAACTCTGAACATCCCATTTTGTTAATACAGATTAGACCAATAAAAAAATATTCAAACAATATTCCAGTAAATCCAAGGCTGTGAAAAGTAAGAAATACAAATGAAATACCAAAGCATACTGATAAAATTAAAAGCCAAACAAAACCTGAACGACAACCCTCGAAACGCTTCATTGAAAACTCTTGATTGAGCAACATGTACTAGGCCTAACCGAATAAACTCTTATGCTCTAGAAGACAATCAAAGCGACGATGAAAAGTCGTATTTTGATGTCAGAATTACAGACAGGTGAACATTTGTGTGACTATGACAATCGAACATATACATGGTGATTGGTGACATTTCATAGCTGTGAACCATCCGTAAAAAATTCGAGATGATGACACCAACTTTACTATAAACATTTTTTATGTCATAAGTTCCTTATAAGCAACAACCCTTTATAAAATAAATCATAGATAGTTTACGTAAGCTTTGGAATATCAACCCGCAGATATATATATTGAATATGTATGTGATACTGAAATTATGTTTCTCTAATTTGCATGCTTTTTTCACATTTCTCGATCGGTGTGAGAAAAATATTTCTCATCTCTAGAGAAAACTTTGATCTCGGTAAATGGTTGGCCGAAATTCAATTATGACGTCAAATTTTCTTTGTTTGTTCTGAATTTTTTATTGTGACGTCATGAAAAAATGCGACCATACCTGGTGACGTCACATATCAAGAACACAGCCTTCTGCAAATCTTTGAAAAGGAAGGATAAACTTTGTTTAGATATCATCTAAAAATCATCAGAGAAACAGATTCTACCACTATAACTCGTGTATTACGATATTTCTCCACTCTCAACAGTTGAATTTTATTTATTTAAAAAGCTCGGCAAGCCTCGCGCTTTAAATATTGAAACTTAACTGTCTCGAGTGGAGAAATATTTTAACACACTTGGTGCAGTGGTGGAATCTATATTTCATCAAAGCGGAAAGTTTATAAAGAAATCACTTATTTTAATCTTACCATTAGATAAGAACCCACAGCGTTATGTTTTTTAAAGATAAAGAATGAGGCAGATCCAAAGATATCTTTGATGTCACTTATTTCAAGTTCACCATTTTTAAAACGAACTTCTTTTATATGCAACAAATGTTGACTTTTTTGTTCAATCTGTATATAACAAACCAATTAAAGGTAAAAATAGATTAATATTATATCTTATTTTACATCTATAGGTAACGACAACATTTTCAGTATTTTAAATGGAAAGTCGTATAGTTTAAGGTTTGACTTAGAAGACTGGTCTGGAGAGTGGCGCTATGCTCAGTACGAGATGTTTAGTATAGCGGATGAGTCGGCAGATTACGAATTAACATTGGCAGGATATAGCGGGGATGCTGGTAAGTTAACAGTTACTATCAGTATGATATGTTTGTATTAGCTGGTGGATTGCAAATTAAACTAAGCACAGTATAGTGGTAAGTTTACAATAAATATATACTATCAATTGGCCTATTTTAGTAATGGAATTACATATCAGCATACTTATTTATGTTATCATGGTATTACACACAATCGTAAAGCAATGTTTTATTCGTGAACTTTTGAACATTAAATCAAATGAAATAAAAGAGTTATTTCCATTTTCAGAAGGTACCTTGAAACGGTATGACAGGAAGTAAACTTTTTGCAGAACTCAATATAAAATTATTCATTATTATTTTTGGTAGAATATTTGAAAGTTGCATACGTTCTATGTGTATAGAAAACATAAAAAGAGGGAATACTTGTGAAATAAATGTGATGTTTTATCTTATTATACTTCATGATTGACAATTTTTTCTCGGTGTAACAATCTGCTCTAATACCTGCTCAACTATGAGCTATTTATATAGGAGGTATGAAAACTGGAAAACCTCGTTTTGTTGGTATCAACCAAAATTAAAATACAAATGAAAGTTCGGCGTGATAACAAAGTTTGTTCGATATGTCGATATGTTAATTTATATAATTAAATTAAAATAGTTCAATGCAATTGTCAGTTGTTATTTAAGATATTTGTGACATTCTTATATATACAAGAATACTTGAAGAGCTATATTATCAAAAGAAACATAAAATAACAGCCAATTTCTGTTTAGGACAACTTTGACTGAGTGAGTTGAAAGTGTTTTAAGTACTATCTTAATTTATCGACGGATAATTTAAGAAAGTATGTTAAACGTCATATCAGTAACGTATTCGATTCAAGAGTAAGTATACAATTTTGTGACATACATATGAAGGTGGATTTCCAAACCTGACTTTTTTTCGTACAAATATGACCTGGCATTAGGTTTATGTTAAGATATCATTTAACATTTTTGTCAGTCTAACTTGAAATCAAGTCAATGTATTTACTCCAAATAATGTATGATGTTGTAAATCATGCTAGTTATATCAGTTATTAAGAAATAAGAGACAGTCTCTAAAATGAACAAATACTAACAATTGTCTATGTTTAATTCAGGTGATTCCATGTTGGATAGTTATCAGCCATTAAATTTGAACGGACAGCGATTTTCCACAAAAGATCGCGACAATGATAATGATCCAAATGGGCATTGTGCTTTGACACAGAAAGGTGGATGGTGGTACAAATGGTGTACCTATGCTAATCCGAATGGACTTTACTTTCTTGGAAATGAGCCTGGGCACTCTGGTATCTACTGGTATCTATGGAATAATTCAATACCATTCTATCCCATGAAATCTGTTACAATGAAGATAAAACGTCTACCTTGAGGAAAAGGATCTGCTACAAATCGTTTGACGCCATAGACGATTTACCTGAATTAACAAAGTGTACTTTGATCTAAATTTCTCTTTATCACCTAATAATTTGTGTTTTCGTGATTCGAGCAACGTTCATTTCTTGTCAATTTTTTTTTGTTATTTTTTTTTTTTTTTTTTTTTTTATAATAATCCTTTTCATCGGAACTCCTGGGTGTTTTTGGGAGTTTTTTATTTATATAACATAAATGTGTCTTAACTTTTGTTGTCATAGGATCTTTAATAATAAAATTTGAATGCTACTAGCAGAAACAATTTCAAAAATCTTATGAAAATAAACAAACGATACTGAAGGGACATTCAAAACTTATAGAGTCGAAGAGAAACTGACAACGCCATGACAAAAAGACAAACAAGTCCACAAAATACTACAAAGAAAACTTAAAATGAGCAACATAAACCCTGTCAAAATTCCGGGGGTGATCTCAGGTACTCCTGAAGGGTAAACAGATATTGTTCAACATGTGTCACTCATCCGTCATGTTGCTCATGATAAGTACAAATTATTATGACCTCACAATCGACAAAGAGAGGACGGTGTGGTTACAGCAGGCACATATATTCCATAACGATCAACCCAACCGTGATGGCGTCTGTAAAAATTCCAAAGAGATGATTTCAGCTTTACGCTTGGTTCAATAGCTCCCTTGTAAGCAGCAACCCTCAATAAAGGAAATTATGATGGGAAACGAAAATTCTGAAATGTCGTTTCAGCGGGATATAGATGGTCTGTATGCAGGTGCTGCAACATAGAAATGGAAATGGAAAGTTAACAATCCGAAAGCTGAAATCATCTCTCTTGTCTTAACCTACTCTCATTGTCAATTTCTAGATACAAGTCAAGATACGAGGACTTTGCTGTATCTGTGGTATCCTTTGGTTCAAGTTTGTTGAGTTTGATACGTATAGAAGAGTCAGCAAACTTGGAATTATTATGTGAAGGTAAAGGATAATGCAAGTTTCTTTTCATCCTTCCTGATCAGCTCCAGTATGAAGTCCGCCTCATATGAATAAGGGAAAAGTAAGCAATTTTAACAAAAACATGATAACAATGAAAATAAGTTAACTGACTTTAGGAAGAGAATTGGATAAATGAAGTTGGCCTTATCAATCCATATCACTCATCCTTTCCGAAAATCAGAGTATAACATGATTTTCATGAATCCATTTTGATGTCTGTGGCAGCTTCCCAAAATAATCGAATAAACAGCACAATTCAATAATCGTTCAATTTCTTTGGTGACCGTTTTACAAATGGACGATTTTTCTTACAAAGTTTGTCCAAAAATATGAAAACAAAACGTTAGAAATTTCATGCAACCGAAACACTTTCTGGATTTACCTCCATCATGAACGATCAAGGCCGATTTTTTTTAAAGCCCAGGCTGTATACGAATCGAAATATATGAAGAGCTATATGTCCAATAAGGAGCTAAAAAAAAATAGTCAAATCAATCAAAAGTGAACTTTGCCTGATGAAGTTAAAAACTAAGTATAATTTCGAAATTTATAAACGGACAATTTTAGAAAGGTTTGTTATAAATCCTTTCAGTACCGAAGTACTGACTACTGAGCTGATGTACAAATTTTGATTCGCGATCCCCACTGATGTACAAACTTGTCCAGGATTTAAAAACGCCATGTGACACCAGGCCGGGATGATATTGACTATCAACCTGAGTACGTTCAAACATATTACGTTTTTTAGTGTTGTTTTGATAAACAAAAAATATACTCTTCATTGCGTGTGTTCGAAGAGCTTTTCTGGATTTACCTTCATCAAGAACGCTCAAACCAAAATATTTGAAATCAGAAGTATAAATACCTAATACTTCGGTGTATTTGTTGGAATCATCCTTCATAATGATTTTTTGCAACCTATAGTTAGAAACTTGCAACTCCTATTTCCATTTGTTTAATGAGAAAATTCAGATATTTCAATTGACCATGATGAAAATTACTATGACGTGTAAAAGAATAATCATACGTTTTGATAATACTGCAATAGTTTACCGATTGTAATTAAAGATTTTGAAGTAGTTCTTTAGAATTTTAACAAATTAGAAACCTCAGACAATAAGGCAGATATCGATTATCCAGCTATAATATCTTCGGAAATATGTAGTTATAAACAGGGAATTAATATCGAAGCTATCTTAATTAATTCTATGGGTTGGCCTGTTTTCCTTCATTTCATTTGCTCTAATTTTCATGCTTTTTTCACATTTCTCGATCGGTGTGAGAAAAAATATTTCTCATCTCTAGAGAAAACTTTGTTCTCGGCAAACGATTGGTCAAAATTTGATTATGACGTCAAATTTTCTTGGTTTCTTCTGAATTTTCTATTGTGACGTCATGAAAAAAGACGACCATGCCTGATGACGTCACATATAAAGAACACAACTATCTGCAAATCTATGGAAAGGAAGGATAAACTTTGTTAAGATATCGTAAGAGAAACAGATTTTACCACTACAACTCGTGTATTACGATATTTTTCCACTCTTAATAGTTAAATTCTAATTATTTTAAAAGCTCGGCAAGCCTCGCGCTTTAAAAATTAAAATTTTGTCTGTCTCGAGTGGAGAAATATCGTAATTGCTTTTATTATGAACGATCAAACATCTTTTTAGAATATAAATGAATAGCTCCTCTGGTATTGCAGTACTTAGTATAATATACATCCTCAAACCCCATAAAACTGAAAGTTGAGGATGTATATTAGGAACGCTCAAACCCCATAAAACTGATAGTTGAGGATGTATATTAGGAACGCTCAAACCCCATAAAACTGAAAGATGAGGATGTATATTATAAACGCTCAAACCCCACAAAACTAAAAGTTGAGGATGTATATTAGAAACGCCTTAACCCCATAAAACTGAAAGTTGAGGATGTATATTAGGAACGCCCAAACCCCATAAAACTGAAAGTTGAGGATGTAAATTAGAAACGCTAAAACCCCACAAAACTAAAAGTTGAGGATGTATATTAGAAACGCCCAAACCCCATAAAACTGAAAGTTGAGGATGTATATTAGGAACGCCCAAACCCCATAAAACTGAAAGTTGAGGATGTATATTAGAAACGCTCAAACCCCACAAAAATAAAAGTTGAGGATGTATATTAGGAACGCTCAAACCCCATAAAACTGAAAATTGAGGATGTATATTAGGAACGCTCAAACCCCATAAAACTAAAAGTTGAGGATGTATATTAGAAACGCTCAAACCCCATAAAAACTAAAAGTTGAGGATGTATATTAGAAACGCTCAAACCCCATAAAACTGAAAGTTGAGGATGTATATTAGGAACGCTCAAACCCCATAAAACTAAAAGTTGAGGATGTATATTAGGAACGCTCAAACCCCATAAAACTAAAAGTTAAGGATGTATATTAGACACGCTCAAACCCCATAAAACTAAAAGTTGAGGATGTATATTAGGAACGCTCAAACCCCATAAAACTAAAAGTTGAGGATGTATATTAGGAACGCTCAAACCCCATAAAACTAAAAGTTGAGGATGTAAATTAGAAACGCTCAAACCCCATAAAACTAAAAGTTGAGGATGTATATTAGGAACGCTCAAACCCCATAAAACTAAAAGTTGAGGATGTATATTAGGAACGCTCAAACTCCACAAAACTGAAAGTTGAGGATGTATATTAGAAACGCTCAAACCCCATAAAACTGAAAGTTGAGGATGTATATTATATTAAGTACTGCAATACAGTTTTGTTTGTTTTGAGCGTTCCTAATATACATCCTCAACTTTCAGTTTTGTGGGGTTTGAGAGTTCCTAAAAAACACAAAAAGAGCTTCAGACGGACAATTTTTTTAAAGTATTATTTTCATATGAATACACCAGCATGATGACTACAAGCATAGAACCCTTTTGTTCGATTTATTTCGTATTGAAATTTCTATGTTCTAAAATAATACTTAGATCGTTTTAATACTATTATTCGGAAAATAGTGTATGCTTTAATTATTGCAATTGATGATAAAACAGACAAAATGTAAAATTTGATTAATCCAACTAATTTTTTCAACATTCAATAAATACCCCCGGGGTGCATGTTTTAATGAATGAGACACTGCATTTAAAAATGTGATTTGATTTAAGGTGAATGACAGACTAATTCCCCGACGTTTTTAGCAGATAAAAATCTAGAGTTATGGCACGAAAATACGGATATTATTTTATTGAAATTTAATTTGTTGCTAATAAATTTTTTTTAATCATTTTAAATCAAAGAATATATTTCCCTCGTGCATAGCTCTAAATCCTTGTCACTTTTGGTTTTATCCAGCTCTTCTGTGTTTGTTTTAGAGTTTGGACTTTCGAACATTTTGGCCTCGGGCATCACTGACGAGCCATTATGCACAGCTGTTGCAGTGAAATTGGTACTTTTAGTGTTATTAAAGTTTCCTGACAAAATTGGTTTATTAATGAAAGGAATTACTACATATTTTTATACAATTACAACCTAAATGTTGTTTTGAAAGAAAGAAATATGCCTCCTGGTGTCTAAATACAAAACTACACTAAATTTACTATAATAACCATCAAACTGACTAATTTCAAACAAGGTGGTTCTAGACCAGTCCTCTTTAAATTTTTTATTAAAATAAAAATGCAACTAAAATATGTATTTTTTTCATTTAAATTTGTATATCAAAATCCATTATAATATATTGACAACTAGTTTCTGTAAATTATACCAACTTCAGGAACCTCTAGCCTTTGTAAGTCTTGTGTGTTTTAAATTTTGGTTCATTTGTATGTTTTGTAGTTGAGTGTGGCATCCATTTCGCTGAACTAATATACATTATTTTAGGGGCAAGCTGAAGCCCGCCTCTGGGTGGGGGATTTTCTCGCTGCGTTGAAGACCCACTTGTGTCCTTGGGCTGTTTTCTGCTCTTTGATCGGGTTGCTGTTTCTTTGACACATTTACCGTTTCCATTCTCTATTCTATTCAAATCTTATGCTTTGTGTTCAACTTTGTGAGACATACAAGTACAAGGTATTGATATAAGCTGATAAGCATTCGGGTTAAACATTTCAGAAAAAAACCTTGAATGGACATTGGTGGGCTATCCTCAAAAACTGTAATATTCAAAACTGTATAAGGCCAGCAGTTA